TTCCTCTGATAGTTACTAGCTCTGTGATCGTGGACAAATCACTTGGCATCTCTGAAGCTTTGTTTCCCCAATTGTAAAATAACAATAATGCCTGTAGTACTTGCTGCAATCATAAAGGGATCAGTTTCCTTTGTTCTGAGGGAACCTCACAGAGTGAGGCTTAGGATTCAGGTTCGTATCTAAGCGTTACCATTATCTAGTCATGGGTGATCTGAGGCAAATCACTTCAATTCTTTGGTTCTTGGTTTACTCATCTATAAAATGAAAGTTGGATCAGATAATTTCTAAGTCCCCTCTAGCTTGAAGCCCAGGAACCTATCACCTTGGTTCTTCAAATAACTAAGTTTGTGACTCTGGGGAAATCCATAAACTTCTCCAAGATGCAATTTCTTTTTTTTTCTTTTTTTTAATATTCAATTTCCTCATGTATAAAATAAGGATAATAATTACCCTACCTATTTCACAAGACTATTAGGAAAAATTGCTTTGTAAACTGTAAAACACTTGATAAAAGTAAGCTGACCTTTGGTCCATACTGGTTAGATAATTAAGCAATCTTTGATGAGGAGGAGTCTAGATGACTTTTTTGGACTTTATTAGCCCTGTAAGTTAAGTTTTACTCTCCCCCTGAGAGATGCCAGGGAAAGTGGCATTGATTTTGGTCCCCCATTATAATGTAAGCTTTTTGAGGGAAAGGACTATTTTTATTTTTTTTTTTCATCCCTATTTGTTAGCTTTGGACAAAGTAAGTGCTGAACAAATGCTTTCATTCACTCATTCATCCACCCTTGGATGAATAATGTCGTAGCTACTCTGTAATTACGATGCTGAAATTCCCTCCTAGATGACCTGGAAATGCCTCACAGTGTGAACCTACTGGTTCACTGGTTTTGGACCCTCCCCTCCAAATCTATTTTCCTTGTTTTCCTTATCTTGCCTCTTCTTAGTGAAGGGATAGGCAACTGGACTGTGAACTGTTCCTCTTATGTTAACCTGCTAATCTTTAATTGTGGGAAATTACTGTCATTTTTTCTGGGTTTATAAGGTTTATATGACCTTCTTAGTAGGTCATAGTGAGCATTTGCAGAAATATGGAACTTGACTGCTTCACCTGGCCTTCTGTTCTTGTCCTAAATTCAAATATAATTTTGAGGATGAAGTGAACATTATTCCTCAAGGCTCCCCAGAGCTTTTGTAAGGGTTTGGGGGAAGAATTCTTAAAATAAGTTTGGAGCACAGCTCAGAATCAAGAATGTAGCAGGAATTATAAGGAATTTCCTAACCCTAGTCATATAGTTGTCTCAGACCATGGACCTTGAATCAACACCGCAGCAAATGAATAAATTTTATCTTATCCATAGAAGCATTTTAACTGTTTTTATTGATTGCCATATTGAAGGCCTCAGTTATGCAATAAGAGATGGTAGTTTCCTTTGTCAGGGAGGGACTTGTTAATTACTACACCACAGTGGATGCGAGCAGAGGCGCAGAAGCAGTTAATAATACCCAACCGATCATGCCAGATAGAAGGTCTAGGTCTACAGAGATGCCCAGTAGAGGCAAGACAACTCCCAATAGAGATGAAACTTGATGGCCAACAGAGACCGGATGATGCTCAACTGAAATGACACAATGTCCAGAAGATTGCAAAGACAATGCCCTGCAGAGAGCAGCACAATGATGTCACCAGAGGATGTTGGCACCCGTGCAGCACTGGAGATGTGAATTGGCCGGGCCACATGAGTTGTTCTGTGTTTGTGCTCCATGGTTCCTGATGTGTGTACCTTCTTTGTGTGTGCTCTGGCCTTACTGGCTCCTGAGGCATTGCCATCAAAAACAAAGGCTTTCATATTGCAGTAGGTGTGTGTGTGTTTGTGTGTGTGTGTATGTGTGTGTGTGTGTGTGTGCGCATGCATGTGTGTGTATGTATGTATAACCAGCTTTGGAGAGAAATCTTTTCCATAACTGGGGGGCTCAAATGTCCTATATTAGAAGTGACTAATCAGTGACCAGACTGCTGTGGGTCTTGGAGCAGGACTGCCTGATTGAAGGTTATAGGGATGATCACAGGAGTGACATAACATCCTGGGTTTTCCTCCAGTACTCCTGGACTTTGGACAGGGCCCCAGCTGGATGGCTTACGTGCACCCAAAGGTAAAACTAGAAGTAGGCAAAGTAGGAAGGAATGGGCATGAAGGGAGGATATCCATTCTGTTAGGGCTTGAAACCAAAGCCTCCCCCAAACCTACATACCCCCATACTCCTTAATTCAAGAGGCAGTCCCAGTGGCTGTTGTGTGCTACTAATAGAGAATAAAGAGGTCTAGACAGAAGCCCCAGAGGTATCTTGTGGCCAATTAAGGTCAACTGGGATTGCATATTTATTTTTACTTTTGTTATCTTAGAGAGACAAGAACTTTGGCAAAATGCTTGCCTTTTCTAAACGGTTACTCTGAATATGGTTAGCATACACCAAGGTGGTCATTCATGGGGACTTCCTAGGATGTCTAAACAAGAAAGGTTGTTTCTAGGTAACTAGAAAAAGCAATAAGTTTCTCTGATAAAAGTCTAATATCCAAGATATATGAGTAAATGATTTAAATTTATGACCAAGAACCATTCCCCAGTAGACAAATGGTCAAAGAATATGAATGAGCAGTTTTCAGAAGAAGAAATCCAAGTTATCAACAACTACATGAAAAAATGCTCCAAATCACTAATAATTTAGAGAAATGAAAATTAAAGCAATTCCAAGGTTCTATCTCTCACCCATAAGATTGGTAAAGATGGCAAAAAAGTAAGTGAGAGATGCTGGAGGGGCTATGGGGAAACATGCATACTGATACACTGTTCATGAGCTGTGAATTGATCTGGCCAATCTGGAAAGCAATTTGGAGTTGTACCCCATAAGGCACTAAGCCAGTCCTACTCTTCTACCCAGCAATACCACTATTGGCCTTATACCCTTAAAGAGATTTTTAAAAAAAGGAAAAGGACCCATATGTACAGCAATATTTATAGCAACTTTTTTTCATAGCCGTATACTGGATGGCGGTATGTACTTATTGGGGAATGGCTAAATAAACTAAGGTATATGAATATAATTGAATTATTGCACTATATGAAATAGTGAAATGGAAAATTTCTGAGGAAAGCAGGAAGACTCATGAATTATTGGAGAGGAAAGTGAGCAGAACCAGGAGAATAATTTGCAAAATGACAACAGTGTTGTAAAGAAAAACAACGTGGAAAAACTTTGAAACTCTGATCCTTACAAGGATAAACCATCATTCCTGAGAACTGAAGATGAAACATGCTATCCATTTCCTGCTCAACTTAAAATGCACAATGAGACAGATAGTTTTGGAAATAGCCGATGTGGGAATTTGTTCTGTTGGACTATGCATATTTATAATGAGGGTTTTATTATTATTTCTTAATTGTTAGATAGGGGAGCAAATTCAGAAGGAGACAGAATAAGTGTTTGTCAAAATAATTATTTTTTAAATAACTAATTTTTTAAAAGAAACATTTCAACTGTTTACTTTTGTAAATTAAGAGTTAAAAAAATTAACAGAGATCTATTTTCTCTCCCTCCCATCCCTCACCAAATAAGTGTCCAAATACAAGAAGCACACAGACCTTGTTGGGAGCGGGAGGTGGGGTAGGGGGAGGAGAGAGGGCATGGCCAATAAGAAAGGACCCAGACACAAGCCAGAGCTGTCAATTGACATGGAGAGGAAGCTGCATTAAAAGCTGCAGCAGCTGAGTGACCTACTCTAAATGAGCCTCGGTGAAGAAAAGAAACAAGGGAAACAGCTTCAATTGAGAAAAAAGTAAGTGGAGACATAACTTCAATAATAATAATTATACATATAATAATATGTATATATTATAATAATCTAATATGTATTTAATAATACAGCAGGAAGTTGGGCCAGAGGCTGGGGCAGCAGGGAGCTAAATGCCGAAGAAAAGGCAGTACCCTCGGAGCTCAGAAGGTACGCTTGTGATCATGGAGAGAAAGTATATGTGCTGAATGTTGGTGGCTTGGACTGGTTTTGTCCTGGACTATTGATGCACTAGGGCACGAGCCCTTTCTGCATTTTCTGCCCCGTTAAATCAAATTGGTCGTCCTCCTGGCCATCAGTCGGTCGCCTCCATGGACTTGTGTTTCTCTTATTAGTAAGCTTCTCGTGAAGGGAGAGATTCTAACTTTTGCTCTCTGTCCTCAGAACCTAACACAGTGCCTGGCACAGAATACTCATAAAATGCTTGCCTTTTCTAAACGGTTACCATGAATATGGTTAGCATACACCAAGGTGGTCATTCATGGGGACTTCCTAGGATGTCTAAACAAGAAAGGTTGTTTCTAGGTAACTTTTCCTTTTCCTTTCGTTCATACCTTCTTGCATTGCTTACCTGAGTGCTTGGCCGAGAGCCCTTTTCAGAGATTTTCAAAATAAGTATGATACTGAAATTCCCATTGTTTCCCTTGGTGAGACATAAGGCAAAGAGATTTTGTGAGAGATGCCTCCAAAACTGTGTCCAGATCTCTGGGCCAAGTTATCTGTCCTGCAGGCTTAAACACCCCACCCCCTAACTTTGACCTCTCAATCTGGAAACCAATCAAATCAATACTTGAGCAGGTTAGTTGACTCCCTTCTCTCTCCATTAGTCATTCCCGTGATTCCTCAGATCAAACTCCCCTTCCTGGCTACTACCTACTTCCCTGCCTGTGTTAGTTTTCCCCATTAGAAAGTCAGTTCCTAGGGGCAAGGACTGTCTCACTTTTGATTTTGTATTCCCAGTGTTTAGCTTACTACTTAGCAAATAACTGGCTCTTAAGAAAAGTTTTTCTTTCATTCCTGTCATCAGAAGGTAAGTGTGGGCATCTTCTGGTTTATTAAAGATCTAAAAGGAATCATCGGATCTCAGAAGCATAGAGGGGAAAGGACTATTAGGGGCTACCCAGGCCAAAACAGATTTGAACAGGAATTCTCTCTACAACTTGCCCATTCAGCCTATGCTTGAAGACTTCTAGCGATGGGAAAGCTTGTTCCTTTTGCAATTCCCTCAGGGTCTGAGATTCTGCGGCTTTTGGTGAAATCTTTCTCTAAGGATTCATCAGTGTCTAGTTCTAAAGAAGGCCTGAGTCTGTGCTTGGATGCTGGCTGCTGTCAGTGCTATATCCAAAGGACCAGAGGCAGACCAGAGGATTCAGTGATACCTCTGGGTCAGGCCAAGTCATAGCCAGAGGGCTGAGAATGCTTGGGGAGGGGGACCACAAAGAAAAACGGGGATCCAGAGGCTAAGGAGGTGAAGGTTGACTTCTGCCTCAAATCTAGGACCAGCTTGATTCTCCCAGAGGTGGGAAGAACAGATGCCTTCACCAGGATGAGCTGGGCAGAATGCCGCACTCACTATCAGAGCTCTGGGTAGGTGAGCGGGAGGGTTTGGGTGCTGGGGGAGTTTGTAGGGAAGAAGTGAAAAAGTGATGATTCTGCTGTCAATCAGACAGGTCCAGCAGGAGAAAGGACATTGATCTTTTGGCATCTCATGTGGGCTTGGAAGCACTCAAGCAGACTCTTATAGGAGCAGCTTGAGGAAAAAGGGCACAAGTTGCAAAGGTACCAGCTACAAAGTACAGGAGTACCTGGGATCTGGAAAAGCAACAGGTGAGGAGACAAGAGAGGGAGCTTCCCTGGAAAAAATCCCATCTACCTCTGAGTTCTCTCCATAGGACAATAGATTTGGAGCTGAAAGGTACCTAAGATACAATCTATCTCACCCTTCACCTACCTCCATTTTACAGATTAGAAGTGGAGACCCAGAGGTTAAGTGATTTGTCCACAGTCACCGAAGTAGGAAGTGAGAGAGGCAAGTTTTGAACTCAAGGCCTCTGACTCCAAATCCAGCACTCCCTCCAGTGTACCACATTGCTTCTAGGTCACGCACCCATGACCTGGAACCACAGGAAGCTCTGGATTGAGAGGAAAGACTAAATCTCATCGGGAGAGTCTATTCTAGATGGCTCAGAAAGGTACTCCTAGGTGTCCATAGTATTGGCTCCTTCTATCCTTGGACTGACTCCAGATGGGATCAAAGAGGCCTGGGGCTAGTAGAGGGCAGAATAGGGGCTGTTTCCCTCCCTGACCTGCCAATCCTCCCATTCAGGCAGTGGCTTCTTTCCTTCAAGAAAAGAAGGTGAATCCTGGGGAGGGAGATGGTATGACTGAGCTGCATTGGGTAAGGATGGTGCCAATCTTCTGTCTTCTATAGGGTCTGTAGGAGAAGGAGACTGAAGAATCCATGGCTCCCTATCATATCCGGAAATACCAGGACCAAGACAGGGAAGCTGTGATGGACATGTTCATTCAGGGAACACTACATCACATTTCTTCTGGCTTCTTCCATCTACTGAAGCAGCCCAGAAGCTTCTTGCTCCTGCTAGGGGGCCCAGGGACCCTGTTTCTTGCCTCTGGCTCCCTCCTCCTGTCTCTCCTGGCCTTCCCAGGCATCCTGGCCTTCCTGTGGCTAGTTGTTAGATATCCCTTCAACTGGTACGTGGACAATGCTTTACACACTGACTTGCGGGACATCAGGAAATCCTATCTCAGTGACAGAGGATCTTGTTTCTGGGTGGCAGAGTCAGAGGGTCAGGTGGTGGGCATGGTGTGTGCCTGCCGGGTTCAAGGGTTTCCAGGAGGACAGAAACGGCTGGAGCTGCTACATTTGTCGGTGAGACCGGAGCAGCGGGGCAAGGGCATTGCCAAATCACTGACCCAGACTCTACTCCAGTTTGCACAGTACCAAGGGTATGATGCCGTGGTGCTGAGTACCCTTTGCTTTAATTACCCAGCTCAAAGAGTATATGAACAGTTGGGCTTCTGGAAAGCACGTGTAGCCTTTGATTCTTTAAAATGGAGGGTGGTGGCTATTCCTTTTTTCTACTATGAATATTCAGTCCCTTATTCACTCTGAAAGCTCCATGAGCCATCTTGGCCTTTAGCTTTTTATAGATTGGCCCCCCTATTTTAGTGATGGCTCACTAAAAGCTCTTACCTTAACCACCACCATTGACTTTCTCCCCTTGTGGCAAAAGGCCTTCTCCCAAACAGAGGGGCTTAAGATGGGTAAAATCGCAGGATCTCAGCATTGGAAAGGACCTCACTGGCATCCAGCTAACCCACTGCTAACCAGAATCCCTACCACAATGTACCTGACAAATGGCCATCCAGGCTCTGCTCAGACAACTTCAATGAGGGAAGTGCTTAGAAGACAGCCCATTCTACCTTGGATGGCTCTAATTGTTAGGAAGATTTCATTTAATGCTGCCTAATCTCCTTCTCTGTGATCCCCCCCCCCCCCACTTACTTCTCATTCTTGCTGCTGCGACCAAGTGGATTTCTCTTCTACATAGCTTCCTTCATATCCTTGGTGATGACTATCCTGTCAACCTCTCTAGTCCAATCCAATTCAATAAACATTTATTAAGTGCCTACTATAGAAGTGCTAGGGATAAGTTAATAAAAAGAAAGCTAATCTCTGCCCTCAAGAAGCTTACAGTTTAAAAGGGGGCTATTTTCAAAAATGATTAGAGACAAGGAAAAGAATGCATATGTTCTAAAAATGTTTATAGCAGCTTTCTTTGCTGTGGCAAAGAACTGGAAATTGAGGGGATGCCCATCAATTGGGGAATGGCTGAACAAATTGAGGTATATGATTATGATGGAATATTATTGTGCTAGAAGAAATGATGAGCTCAATGATTTTAGAAAAAAAACATGGGAAGACTTGCACAAAATAATGAAGAGCAAAATGAGCAGAACCAAGAGAACATTGTATACAGTAACAGCAATGTTGTTGTAAGAATGACTTTGAGTGAAAAAGTTATTTTGTCTATTATAAACACCCAAATTAACTATAAAGGGAAAGATATCATCTTCGTACAGAGAAAGAACTGATAAATAGAAGTATGTATAGGATAATTGTATATATGTATATATACCTATTTACATATAGGTACATATACATTTACCTATATACATATAGGTATATATATTTACATATATATGCCTATTTGTGTCTAATGGTTGCCATTTCTGGGGTGGAGGGAGGGACTGGAAAAAAAAGAAATCTACATGATAATTTTGTTGTATATTTGAAAGGAATAGCAAGTTGTGCACAGTGGATTTGCAGTTTCATGTACAAGCATCTTTTTTTATTGTACTGTGTTATGGAAATGCTTGTTTTATTCCATAAACTAAAAATAAAATAAAATAAAGCAATTTAAAAGAGGATACTACACACAAAAGGAGGCAGGAAGGGGTGGGGGGATGGGACCCCAGGGGTACCAAGGTGGGAGGGAATCTTGTTCCATGGAGTTGAAAACAGGCAGGGCAGTAGATGCAAGTTGGAGCACCTTTCAGATACACATTCCTAGTTCCTTCTACCAACATCTATATGACATAATCTCAGGTCCCATCACCATCCTGGTGAGACATTTCTTAAAATATAGTGCCTCAAACTGAACAAAATATTTCAGATGTGCTCTGACTAGGTTAGAGTAAATACAGTGTGATCATCACTTCCCCAGTCCCGGAAATATGTGCAGCCTGAAATCCAGTTTGCCTTTTTGGCTGACATATCACACTATTGACTCATAATGAGCTTTCATTCCACCCTCCCTCACCTGACCTTTTTCAGATGGACTGTTCTTTTCCCGTCTCATATTTGGGAAGTTTTTTTTTTAAACCAAAATTTAAAAGCTTTCTTGTACACCCACTAAATTGGATTTTATTAGAGTCAGCCTGGACTTCTAGGCTTTGGGATCTTAACTCCTCCATTACTTGAGTCTGCTGATCCAGTGGATAGAGTGCTAAACTTGGGAATCAAGAAGATCTGAGTTTAAATCCAGTCTCAGACACTAGTTATGGGACCCAGGGAAAGTCGCTTAACAGCAGTCTAACTCAGTTTCCTCAATGATAAAATGGCCATAATAATAGTGCCCACCTCTTAAAGTAGTTGTAAGGATAGATTGAGATATTTGTAAACATTGAAGTGCTATATAAATGCTAACTATTTTTTCCAGTATCAGAAACCTATACATGGATTGACAAACCAAGACAAATTGGTAGCAGTCAGTCAAACAAACATTTTTAAATACTTAGTATGTGTTAGGCACTGTGCCAAATGTTAGGGATACAGAGAAGGCAAAAAACATGGCCCTTGCTCTCAAGGAGTTCATATTCTAATGGTGGAAACAGCATGCAGGTAGTTAGGTTCATAAGAGATATATAGGTGTTATATAAAAGATATATAAACAGTAGATGGAAGGTACCCTCAGAAAAGAAGGCATTAGCCCTGCAGCTGGGTGGGTCAGCGAAGGGCTCCTGCGGGGAAGCTAGAAATTGGAGGAGAGGAGGGAGAGATTCCAGGCATGGGAGACAGCCAGTGCAAAGATAAGCATAATCCCTACAGTCTCTCAACTAGAAAGGGGCTATAGGAGAGTGAGTGAGATGGCAAAGGGAGGGAAGGAAAGGGAAAATTAAGGAGGAAATGAATTCCAGGCATCATGGGCAGTCAGTGAAAAAGCATAAGGATAGGAGATGGAGTGTCATGAGTGAAGAACAGAAGGAAGACCGATATGGGCAGATATCAGATTGTCAGAGGGAGAGTAATAGCCAAGGAGTCTGGAAAGATAGGTTGGGACCAGGGGGCACAGGATTTCAAAAACTAAAACTGGCTTGCTTGCCGTGTCTCAGACTTGGTATTCCGTCTCCTTCCTATAAGTCTTAGCACAAACTGTCTTGTACTCTCAAGCCTGGAATGCATTCTTGCCTCTTTTTGCCTGTTAAAATTTCTAACTTTATTATTTTTTAAACTGAATACAACATTTTATTCTTGACATAGAATTTTGAAAAGCAATAAATAATACATCATAAAACACTTACCAATTAGTTGCATGTCTATAGCCTCTCCTATACCCAATCAGTTTTTAGGCAGTACATAAGTAACTTCAAATCTAAGAGTTCTAGGAAACTTGTGATCCTGTTGTCTTAACCCCATCACACACTACTCCTGTGAACAGGCAAAGAAGTATAGGCAATACAACATAGTTCATTTCTGGCATCCAATTCACCCATCTAGAAGTTTTTAGATGAAGATTCGAGAACTTGGGGATTTTGTGGGTTTTTAAAATTAATTTGTTTTAAACTTAAATACTAAAACTTACATACACAATAAGAATGAAAAAGAAACAAATTACAAACTTAAATACCAAAACTTACACATAAAAGACAGAAAGAAAAAAAAGCATTGCTATGTGTACAGCAGAATGTAAGACAGGATTCAAACTAGATAGCATTAAATTTTCATTTCAAGAAAGCCTATATAATAAATACTACACATTGTACTCAGAGCTGTCCAGCTTTGCTTTACTTCTTTGTAAGTTTTCTTTTGTTCTCTGTTGTGCACATTTTGCTTGCTACAATATATACAATACACATATGTATGCACAAACATATACATACATATATACATACCTACATATACTTACATACACATACTCATACTTAAATATTTAACCTACCCCTCCTCCAAAGATACCTCCCTTATCCTCTCCCTCCTTTCCCCTTACCCTCTTGTTTCTATCTGAATTTAAAAGACCTGTATAGCCTTCCAAATATATATTATTCCCTCTTTATCCCATTCTGGTTAGTTTAGACACTCTATACTCCCCATCCCATTCCTTTCTATACCCCCCATCCCATTCTGGTTAATCTAGACAATCTTCTACATCTCCCCCCTTATCCTACTCCCTCACCCTCTTATTTCTTTATAAATTTAGAATACTTTTATTCCCTTCTAAATGTATTCATTGTTCTCTCTTTAACCAGACCTGATGTAAGTAGGATTCCCTCTAAAAATCCCTTCCTTATCCTCTCCTCCCTTCCTATCCCCTTTGCCTTTTATTTCTTTCTGAATTTAGAAGACTGTTACACATACATACATACATACATGCATGCATACATACATACATATGTACGTATGTGTATATATATACATATATAGTTCCCTCTTTAACCCATTCCCAATGAGAGTAGGGTTCCTGAACTACCAGCCCTCCTCCCCCATCTAATTCCTCTGTCAGTTGTTCCTCTCACACCTCATTTGTACAGATAATTATTGTTTTGACCTTTTCCTAAATGGTTTTACTTTTTAGAATCACATCATACTCAGGTCTACCCCAATCTTTCTTTTGCCCTACCCAATTGCTATTAATATCCTTAGACATATGTTTTGTATTTCCTCATATAAAAAATGAACAGTCTGTCCTTATTGAGTCCTGTGTAATTAGTCTTTCATGTGTACCTTATATATACCTTAAGATCTTCTAAGTTCGGGGTTTTTTTTGCAACAAAATCCTGAAAGTCTGGCAATTCATTGACTATCCTTTTTTTTTTCATTCAGGATGATGCTTAACTTTGCTGGGTATGATATTTTCAGCCACAGTCCCAGTTCTTTTCCTCTTCAATATATAGTGTTCTAAGACCTGCAGTCTCTTAGCGTCACTGCTACAAGGTCTTGTGTGATTCTAATTGTGGCTCCACCATATTTGAATTTTTTTTCCTTGTTGCTTGTAATATTTTATCCTCTAGCTGGGGGTTTCAGAATTTGACTATGATATTCCTATAGGCTGTCCACTTAGGATCTCTTTCAGGTGGTGATTGGTGGATTTTTTTCCTATTTCTACTTTCCACTCTTGTTTTAATGCTTCTGGACAATTTTCTTTATTTCTTGTATTATTGTATCAAGATTCTTTTTTTATTATAGTTTTCAGGTAGTCTGATTATTCTTATATTTTCTCTTCTTGATCTGTTCTCCAGATCAGTTGTTTCTTTTATGAGATGTTTCATTCTCTTCTATTTTTTGTTTTATTATTTCTTGGTCTCTTATAACTTTGCTAACTTCTGCTTGCCTGGTTTTAATTTTTAAGGAGTCATTTTCTTCCTTAAGATTCTGGATCTCTTTTCCAGTTGGTTAACTTTCTTTTCATAATCTTCCTGTTTTTCTTGGCTTGTTCTTTCTTTTTTAAAAAAAAAAATTCTTCAATCTCTCTCATTTGATTTTTAAAGTATTTTTTTTTTTTGGCTAGGCAATGGAGATAAGTGACTTGCCTAGGATCACACAGCTAGTAAGTGTCAAGTGTCTGAGACCGGATTTAAACTCAGATCCTCCTGACTCTAGGGCTAGTGCTCTATCCACTGCACTACCTAGCTGCCCCAGATTTTTAGTCTTTTTAAAATCCTTCTATGAATTCTTTTGGGTTGGTGACCATTTGACGTTACTCTTTGGGGTAGGAGAGGCTTTTTTTTGCTTCAGTATCTTCCTCTGGAGATGAGCCCTGGTCTTCTCTATTCCCTTAGTAACTTTCTATGGTTGAGTTCTTTCTCCTTTGCCTGTTCTTTTTTAAAAATTTTATAGCAGCTTATTATTGTAATCACCTCTAGTCCTGAGACATGGGTGATGGTGCCTCTGGCCTCAGATCCTCCTTCAGTTCTCACATCTGTCCTGGAACTGAAACCAAGAACTCTGCCCTCCTGTGAGTGACTACAGCCAACGGTGTGCCCCACTCATCTGCACTCATCAGGTGTGTGCTGGTTCCTTCTCATCCAGGGCCACAGCTGGGTCTGGTA